GGCTTCAGCGCCTGCCTGCTGTCCAAGGCTTATGGCCAGGCTCTGTCAATGCCTCCCACAGGCCCCCCACCTCCACACAGGCCATGGTACAGTAACAAGGCATTCTACCCTGTCTTAGACACATGCTGGTCTTCCTGCCTATTTCTCCAACTCCTCCTGTTTTAGGTAAGCTGAAAACTCCTACTTAGATTTCAAAGCCCAACGTAGATTTCTATGGTTCCTCACTTTTCCTTTTTTTTTTAAGGTTTATTTTATTAATTTAAAAGAATTGCAGAGAGAGAGAGAGAGAGGGAGCAGACAGACAGACAGAGAGACCTTCCATCTGCTGGGTTACTCCACAAAGGGCCGCGACTGCCAGGACTGGGCCAGACTGAAGTCAGGAGCTTCTTCTGGGTGTCCCATGTGGGTGCAGGGGCCCAGGCACTTGGACCACCTTTTTTTTTTTTTTTTTTTTTTTTTTTTTTTTTGCTTTTCCAAGGCTCATTATCAGGGAGCTGGATCAGAAGTAGAACAGCTGCATCTCAAACCAGTGCCCATATGGGATACTGGTGTCACAGGTGGTGGCTTACCTGCTACACCACAATGCTACACCCCTCACTCTCCCTTTAGGTACTTCCATAAGCACCTTAATACCCTCAAGGAACTAATTATGAAATTTCTTCAGCTTGCAATGTATACATTTATTCTAACACTAATTTTTGTGTTAGTATATTCTGATGACTAACTTATTAATTGTAAGGCATTTCATTTATTCTTATTTTTAAAGAGATATTATTTCTCTGATGGGGGAAGAGAGAAATCTTTTATCCACTGGTTCACTCCCAAAATGCCTGAAGCAGCCAGGGCTGGGCTATGCCTAATGCAGGAGCCAGAAACTCTGCTATGAAGGTCACAGGGATTCAAGTACTTCAGCCACATCCACTGCCTCCCAGGCACATTAGCAGGAAGTTGGACTGGAAGCGGAGGAGCCAGTATCTTAATCAGGCAAAATGGAAAGGGACGTGGGCATCCCAAGTGCGACTTAACCCACTGTGCCACGGTGCCCACCCCACAATCTCCTTATTACGAAGAGGATTACAGAGGTGGGAAATGTGGAGCATTGCTTAAGCTGCTGCTTGAGACACCAGGCTCCCATACTGGAGCACCTGTCCTCTGCTTCTGACCCAGCTTCCTGCTAACGTATCCTGGGGACAGCAGTCGATGGCTCACAGACTTGGGCACCTGTTACCCACTTGGGAGACTCAGACAGGGTTCCAGGCCCCTGATTTCCTGCCTGGCCCACCCTGGCCATTGAGGGCATTTGGGGGGGAAAGAATCAGTAGAGGGAAGCTCTCCCTTGTCTCTGTTTCTATCTCTGCCCCTCAAGTTAAAAAAAAATTAAAAACAGGATTACAGATAAAGTGCCCCTTTAACCATATTCCAGTCCCTGTTCTTCCCCAGAGACATAGCTGTGTTGTTCTAGACCTGTGTATATACAGTAGGCGTGTGTGTGTTTTGTTTTGCCATATACCTTTTCACCCAGTTCTGCTAAAAGATAAACATTTAGACAGTTCCCAACTTGCAAGTTTTACAATGTAGACATGAACATTTTTGCGCCTGTTCACTTGTGCCAATGTGATAACATTTCTTATGGAAATAGGAACACAGAGGGGAACGGAATCACCAAAACAGGTGTGCATATCAAATTCCAGGAAATACCACCAAATCCCTCTTCACCGTGGGAGCGACACAGAGCACCACTTTCTGGGGTTAGACTTAGGCACCCACATGGTCAGGCACATGACAATCATTCACCAAAAATCTGTAGAGTGGATGACCGTTTCTGTCTTTTGGCACAATGTGAGTGGCTATGAGGCAGAATTAATGGTACATTCCTAGTATGCTGATCCCTAACAGAGTCTCATACAAAATAAGCATTTAGAAATACTCACTGCTGTTAAAGGGGTACACACTCTCAGTGCATCATTCTACGCCATGTTTCTCCATTCTCTGCAAGAACCTCTTAAGTGCTCATCAAAATCAGAAGAGGTAGGGGCTGGCACTGTCGTGTAAAAGGTGAAGCTTCCACCTGCAGTGCTGGCATCCCCCATGGGCACCGGTTGGAGTCCTGGCTGCTCCACTTCTGATCCTGCTTCCTACTAATGTGCCTGGGAGAGCAGCAGAAGATGGCTCAAGGCCTTGGGCCCCTGCACTTACGTGGGAGACTTGGAAGAAGCTCCTGTTGCAGCCATCTGGGGAGTGAACTAGCAAAATGGAAGATTCTCTCTTTCTCTATTTCTACCCTTCAAATAAACAGACAAATCTTTAAAAAAAATCAGAAGACATAAAAGGAGCTGCTATGTATTGAAAAATCGTGTTCTCAACTGAGCCCACCTTTGAAAACACGTATAATCAGGGATTTTACGTCTAGTTCACAAAACGTCACTAGTATTTCAGCTATTTAACTTTTTCACATACATGTAACGTGTTTTCAAGAGCTTAGAACAGCAACGTGTGTCAGCTTCCTAGCCTGTAACCTCACTACCCCGCCTGTGGACAGGTGCATCTGCAGCAGGGAGTCTCTCAAGGGGGTTCAGATAATGGGTCAGGACTTGCAGGTGAGTATCAGAAGATAGGGACAGAAGTGGAGCAGTGAGTCCCTCAGGTTGACCCTTGGGCCAGCACTGGGTAACACGAGGCAGGGTTCATCTGAAATGTAATGAATACACCTGGAAATCTACTTGCAATTAGAAAGGGAAAATGAATTAACCTACCAAGGTCGGGTCTATGTGTCAGCTGCTGTGGATGCAAAGCAGACCCAGGAATGCCTGGTGATGATGCGACTTTTCAATGAACGCATGGACGAGTCCTTATAAGCAATTTGTGTGTGGATACATTGGTGGTCCTCAGTTAAACCAAAGTGTGTGTGTGTGCAATTTAAATAACACATTCCACTGGCTGTCTCTGAACTTGTCTCCGTATGTGTGAGTGTAGTGTACATAAGACATATTCTAACCATGACACATATGAGTGAACAATACTGTTTTTTTTTTTTTCCAAATTAAGTGGCAGAGCTTTCATTACCTGTTGCACTGTTTAAGGCATTCTTTGGTTTAAGATGCAGGAGAAAAGTACAAGTGCCTAGTAAAGGCATTCCCAGACCTTCATACATCATGGCATGATTACAAAAGCAAACGAATAAATAAATTTAGAGTCTCCTACAGCTTGCCAACTTCCATTTTACCAAGGAAGTACATTAAAAAAAGAATAACAATTATGATTTACTGCCATCACCATTTCATAAAAGCAAAGCATGTTAGGCCTCCTTCTCTCCAAAAATGCTGGGAATATGTTGGAATAGAGAAGTCTTTCATGTTGAAGACATAAGGTCTATAAAACACTCAGGTTTACCATAATTTTTTTTTTTTACCATTTTCTAGTTTCACAGTGGAGCATTGACAACCTAATGACTTGTGAACTCCAGATAGAGTGACCACTAAAAAACAAGTCAATTTATCAATTAGCTAATTAATTAGGGAAGCAAGATGGAGACAGAAGGGGAGGGTGAGACAGAGAGCTTCCCCCTGCTATTTCACTCCCCAGATGTCCACAACAGCCAGGGCTGGGTCAGGCTGAAGCCAGTAGCTTAGAACTGCATCCTGTCTCCCACGTGGGTGACAGGGACTCAAGGGTTTGACTCAGCATCGGTTGCCCTCCAGGGTGTGTGCAGGCAGGAAGCTGAGATCAGCAGTGGAGCAGGGATTTGAACCCAGGCACACTTAATATGGGCTGTGGGCGTCCCAAGAGGAGGCCACCAAACGCCCACTCTGACTGATACTTAGGAACTGTTAGCTGTAAACAATTGGGCCCTATAAATTATTTCCTTTATGTTTACTTATCAAACTTCTCCCTCCCTCGTTTTCAAAGTTCTGGTTCTGTTAGTTTTCTAGGAATCTTAATGCCATCTACATAGATTCTAAAACCCTTCAAAACATGGGTTGTTTCTATTGATTGCTCATTTCAAACACTTAGCACTTAATTCTGCAGACATCATGTAACATACGTTTCTCACTTACTATTTTCTTAACAAATAGTAATATTCAGAGGCCAAAGGCCAGGAATCATGTTACAGTGTGTGTGTGTGGCGGGGGAGCAGGGAACAAGGAAATAATGAGTAATAGACCTGCTACATTTTAGTCTTGCAAATGTGGCCTATTTCTTAATTTCTTCGAGCTACCACTTCTCATTTGTAAAATACAAGTAACACCCACATAACAAGATTGGAAAAAAACCTGAGGAAAGTGTATGTGAAGCCTTAGCACTGTCCTTAATACAACAATGGTCTTGAAAAGAAATGAGCCTAGCTGTGGCTCCCAGCTACCGGACAAAGTCCATAGGAAGGAATCTCTCCCATAGTCTCTGTAAGGATGCATATACATGTTATTTGTAACAGTTTCATTTAAGATTTTATTTATTTATTTCAGAGGCAGAGTTAAAGACCAAGAGAGGGAGAGACAGAGAGAGGTCTTCCATCCGCTGGTTCACTCCCCAAATGGCCGCAACAGCTAAAGCTGCACCAATCTGAAGCCAGGAGCTTTTTCCAGGTCTCCCACATGGGTGCAGAGACCCAAGCACTTGGGTCATTTTCTACTGCTTTCCTAGGCCATAAACAAGAGCTAGATGGGAAGAGGAGCAGCTGGGACTCAAACCAGTGCCCAGATGGGATGTCGGTGCTGCAGGCAGAGGCTTAGCTTACTATGTCATAGCTTAACTGGTGGTTAAGATGCCAGTTAAGAGGCCCACATTCCATACTAGAATATCCAGGTTTTAACTGAAAAGGGTAACTTGATACTCAGCTGTGGCTACTGACTAGGTTTCTCCCACTGTGGGCCCTGGGAATAGGTGATGGCTCAAGTAAATGGATTCACCACCCGCATGGCCGACCTTGACTTAATTCTTGGCTCCTGGCTTGGGCTACGCCCAGCCCAACCCTGCATATCGCAGGCATCTGGGGAGTGAACCAGCAGGTGGGACTGAGTCTATCTGGCTCTGAAATAATGGCCACACTGTTCCTTGATGCTCTTTCCATGGAGAGATGGGATCTGTGTTCCCTCTTGAACGGTAAGGCAGAAGTGTTGCCATGGCATTTCCAAGGTTACGTCACAGAAAGCTATGCTCCTTCCACACTGCCACCTGAACTTGATCACCCCAGAGTCTCTGTGCTGTGAGGATGCCCAAACCATGTGCCAAGGGAGGCCCTTGAATCCACAACCTTAGCTTGTAGGGCACCCCTCGCCCAGGTGTCAGGCACATATGTGAATAATCTTCCATGTGATTTCAATCTCCACCTCCAAGTTGCCATTTTTAGCTCAAAGTCTAGACACTGTGGAGCAGAGGTAAGTCATTCCTATTGTGTCGTGTCTGTACTCCTAACTCGCAGAATCAGTGAGAGGTTGTTTGATGTCTTTAAGTTTTGGGGTTATTACAGAGCAATTGTAACTGGGTCATAGGACATATTTTGAATTTGGGATGCAGAAAACACGGATGGATTATTTATCCTTTCAATGGCTTATTTACCCTCTTAAAGTGCATGGGACATACTAGGCAAGGATTTAGAAGCCCAGATGTTCTCATTTCATATACTGTCACATTCAGACACATTTTTAGGGCCTTTGAAGAACAGGAAACTTCTTCCAGATATTCCAAAAATAACTATTAAAACACAGCCCGAGATGGACAACACCAAACTGAAAACTTAAATCTCATTGTGCCAAATGATACTAACAATGCAGATGACAGGCCAATGGTACAGCTGAGACACAGCCTCAGACGTATCACAGAAGCTGGCAAGCTAAAGTGGCTTCGACAGGAGTATGCACTCACTTAACTGTCATAATGACACAGGACTCGTCTGTATCTTTTACAGTAAGAAATAGCTTATAAGAATCTTGCAGAAATTTTACGAGTTTCACTTTTTTCAGAAACAAATGCAGACAGAATGGGCAACATAGGGCACAGTTCTAGAAGGGCTCCTGATGGCTCCTATCACCTTCCACACCCAGCAAAGAGACCCTTTACCCTGGCAGGCAGAGCCCTGTACAGTACGTCCAAACCCACCTTCCATTCCTCCTGTCTCATTCCATACTCAAGCTAGAGCTTCCTGCTGAGCCTCCAACACATGCCCTACCTTCCTGCCTATGAGTTTTAGTTTATGTTACTCTTTTTGTCTAGGACACAAGTTCTTGATCTTGGATTTACAGATGAGTTTCAAGGTTCAGGTGTTCTTCCTGGAAGCGAAGGTAGCCTTTGGTGTAACCTTGCAAGTGTGCATTCTTCTGGAAGGAGGGGTCACAGGGGTTAGGGGAGGGTGCATGAGTCACCACCTCTTTTCCCCATTGAGCCCACTTGCCCATTCATTCATTGACAGATACATACTTAATGCCCACCACATGTCAGATACTGTTCCGTGTTCTTGGAACATAGCAGTGAGGAAAACAAACAAGGATCCTGCCCGCTTGGCACTTCTATTCTACTATCAGAATATAGATCAATGGCACAATATATAATGTAATAGATAAAATATACAATGCGTAAATTACTTAGTAAGTTAAAATACAGTGTGTTTTTTGGTTTGTTTGTTTTTAACCTGTGACGGGCATTGTGATGTAGCAGGTTAAGCCACTGCAGGTGGAAGCTCCATCTGTCTGTCCATCTCTCTGACTCTCAGATCAAAAAGTGCATGAGGGGTCAGCCTTGTGCCACCGCCTGTGGTGCTAGCATCTCACACAGGTGCCAGCGTGAGTCCTGGCTGCTCCACTTCTGATCCACATTCCTGCTAAAGCACCTGGGAAAGAAACAGAAGATGGCCCAAGTCCTTGGGCCCCTGCACCCATGTGGGAGACCCAAATAAAGCTCCTGGCTTCAGCCTGGTGCAGCCCGGTCATTGTGGCCTTTGGGGAGTGAACCAGCAGATGGAAGATCTCTCTCTCTCTGTCTCTTCCTCTCAAATAAATAAATAAATCTTCAAAAAAACCCTATGAGGATAAGCAGTCCTGGGAGGAAGAATGTTGTTTTAAGTAGAATAGTCAGGATGGGACCTATTATGACGAAGACTTGAACAAATTGATGGGGTGAGCCACATTCCAGACATGGGGGAAGGCAGTGCAAGGGCTCTGATGTGGTTGTCTGCCAGGCATACAAGAGGCAATGTGGCTGGAACCAAGTCCAGGAAGGAACGAGAAGGGGATGAGGGTGAGAGCCACTGCTGATCATGTGGCACTGTGAGAGGGATGAGGAGCCAACAGAGAATTCTAGGAGCAAGTGATGTCATCTGCCTTGGGCTGCAAAAAAGTCACCAGGTATGGACAGGGTGGAGGTGAGGACTCTGATGGGAGGCAGACTCGGTCACCCAGGCGAGAAACAATGGGGCCTTGGACAAAGGCGATAGCAGTGAGGTTGTCAGACGCAGACAGAAGGTGGAATAAATAAGACTCACTCACACATCAGATGTGCCATGGGCAAGAGAGACAAGAGACGGGAATGATGTCGAGGTGTGGCCTCGAGCTGGACGGATGGCACTGTCATCAGCCAAGACGAGGGAAGTTGGAGAGGAGATTTTCAGGGGCAAAGTAGGGAATTGAGCTTTCTCCATGCTTAGGTGGGGGTGCCTGGTTGGTAGCTGGATTTGCAAGTCAGGCCAGGTTTCTAAGGTAAGATTCAGAGCTAAGCATTTGGGAACCACTGATTGTATTAAGGAGCATCATCTGACCATCTAACAGCCCACATCCCTTCTAGGATCCCCTACAAACACCTTGCTGGTACCTCCCTAGTGAAAACTTTTCACCCTATTAAGTTTTTAATATACTCTCATCTTTCTTCCTATAAAGTCTAAAAATTGTATTCCACACAATTTTGTATCCTTTGTTGTGCCTGCAAAAAATACTGCTTAGGCCAAATGAAGACATTCTTTCAAACTCCTCCCCAGTATACATCGTTTTTACGATCACCAAGACCTGTACATGGTTCACAGTAGTGATTCTGATCCTTTTCTTACTCCTTAACATTTGCCATGAAATCCAAGCACTGGCATTCCTTTTCAGAGCACTGGTTCAAGTCCTGGCTCCTCCACTTGCAATTCGGTTCCCTGCTAATGCACCTGGGAAGTACTAGACGATGGCTCAAGGAGCCCCTGCCACCCACGGGCAGGCATGGATGGAGTTCCCAGCTCCTGTCTCCAGCCTGACCCAGCCCATCTGGGAGATTAAACAGTGTATATGGAAGTTCTCTCTGTCTCTCCACCTTCCCAAACAATCTATCTTAAACACAAATCCAAACTCCACTTCCATTTTCTCTGTAATGCAAATTATCAAACTAGTTTTTTTTTTTTTTGAAAATAGACTACTGGTAAAACACTATTTATTGTAAAGAAAACTTGGAAAGAATGTCAAAAGCCACATTTAGTTCCCTCTTCCCCTCCTACAGTTTCCTTGGAAATCAACTTTGGTGCTCTGCTTTCACTTAGCTGTGCACTCTAGTTCTGCAGGTTTCAAGTTTCTCACCCAAAAGATAGAGAGACTGGGCCAGGAGGTTCCAAAATTCCATAAATATTTCTTTTTGAAAAATCCTGAATGACTCTGTCAAAACACCAAAGTTGCTGGAGATAAAGCATTTATTATGCTTCAAACCATATGGGATCAAGATAAATGTTATTCAAATACAGACCTTCCAGTCAACAACATGGACTAGAACTCCCTTTTATTAACTTGGGAAATTGGGGAGTTTTTCCTTGAAAAAGAAATTCTTAAGAATGATATTGGTCATTTTCTATGGAACAGTTACAAAGATTCTTTTTCTGAATTCCTGTTGAACGTTTAAGTCTATTATAAGTACATCCCATCAAAAATAAGAGAAGTAATCACAAGGCAAATAAAATTATTACCTGTGTTTTGGGCCGAGTGTATTCCACGGGCCTTAGATACAATCTTCATGACTGAACTGCATTTTGTGATTCTTCCATTAAAGCTGTTTTAGCTAATTGTGAGGTTGTTAAAAGTGCTGCGCTCACAATGTCCACAGGCCATTTTCAAGTTTGTTTTCATAGGGTTGTATTTAATCATGAACATCACAGTAACTTAAAAACGGCTCTTTTGAAAACGTATTTGTGGACACCCTCTATGGAATGATGAGAATTTTAGAAAAGTCACATCAGGCTCAGAGGTTAGGAGTAGAAATCAAACACAGGTGGGGAAGAGACAAAAAAACCAACCACACAAAAACCCTGTAACCAGAGAACTTTCTGTCAAGCAGCAGCTAAGTGGCTTTGATGGAAATGCCTCATTGTGTGACAAAGGGGTTAAAATACAGGATTCCTCTGGAACATTTCAGATCTGAAAGCTGTGGGAGCACAGGAGGCCAGGCAAGGAAAATCCTGCTCTCAGAGGAGATGGGTGAGGGTGGGAGATGGGTCTAGTGGTTAAGACACTGCCTGGGTTACCTGCACCCCATATCTGCGTGCCTAGGTTCATGTCTCAGCTCTGCTCCCCATTTTAGCTTTCTGCTGATGCAGACCCTGGAAGGCAACTGTGATGGCTCAAGTAGTTGGGTCCCTGCCACCCATGTGGGAGACCTGGATTGAGTTCTCAGCTCCTGGCATTTGGGGATTGAACCAGCCAATGGGGATGCAGTCACTACCTCTGCTTCTCCAACAAATTTTAAAAAGAGGAACAGGAAGAGGAAAAAGAGGAGGAAGAGAAAGGAGAGAAGAGGAGATAGATGGAAAAGACTGAAAACAAAAATAGCAAAAATCAGGGCTGGTGTTCTGGCGTAGTAGGTAGAGTGGCCACCTATGATGCTGGCATCCCATACGCACACTGCTCCAGACCTGGCTGCTCCACTTCCTGTCCCGCTCCCTGCTAATGCACCTGGGAAACAATGGAACATGGCCCAAGTGCTTGGGTCCTGCACCCATGTGGGAGATCTGGAAGAAGCTCCTGGTCTCTGGATTTGGCCCGGCCCAGCCCCAGCTGTTGCTGCCATTTGGGGAGTGAACCAGAGGATGGAAGATGTCTCTCTTTCTCTGTCTCCTTATTTCTGTGTATAACATGGAGTTTAAAAAAAATGAATAAATCTTTAAAACAAAACAGACTCCCCAAATCACTCCCAAAATTCAACCACAACTGGCCCAATGATGGTAATCAGGAACTTCATTTTGACTCTTGCTGGATTAATCCCACCCCAACCTCCACTATTACCCTCTATAATCAGACATTTTCAAAAGACACAGGTGTGGCCGGCACCGTGGCTCACTTGGCTAATCCTCCGCCTGTGGTGCCAGCACCCCGGGTTCTAGTTCTGGTTGGGGTGCCGGGTACTAGTCCTGGTTGCTCCTCTTCCAGTCCAGCTCTCTGCTGTGGCCCGGGAGGGCAGTGGAGGATGGCCCAAGTGCTTGGGTCCCTGCACCAGCATGGGAGACTGGGAGAGAGCACCCGACTCCTGGCTTTGGATCTGCGCAGCGCCGGTTGTAGCGGCCATTAGGGGAATGAACCAACGGAAGGAAGACCTTTCTCTCTGTCTCTCTCTCACTGTCTATAACTCTACCTGTCAAATAAAAAAAAAATAAAAAAAAAGACACATGTAGCAGGCACAATCCTGTGAGCCTCACAAGTATTAACTTCCTTAATTTTCCTGTGACCCTTTGAGATAAACTGTAACAGCCTCTTTAGTATCTAGACAGACACAGGGATCCCAGAACCTTGTTAAATGGCTCAGCTGTAATTCAAACCCAGCAGTCTGAATCCAGAGTGTAGGATCATGGCTGCTGTGCTGTGCTATGCTGGAAGGAAGGAGAACAAAGACACTGCAAATGAAAGTGTATGGTTCACAAGTCCCCTTGTCACACTTTAAGAAACTCCATAGTCCTAGGGAGGATCTTTCAGTAGCTGGAAAGCTGCAAAACACAGGCTCTTTTGAAAATATGATTGCCTCCTGTCCCTTGGGCATATACAATCTTATTACCAGCTCCCCCACCCCACCCCAAATCAAACCCAAGGAAAGCAAAGCAAAATAGTTGGAGTATTTAGCATCTAGGTAAAGGGGATGCAGAGTTTGGTCTACAGAGTGCCCGAGAGGCCAGCACTGAGGGGAGATCAGCAAATTCAGCCTCCAGTTCCACAGCGTGCAAGCAGTAATAATAATCTGGTTTGCTTACACCATGGGAAGGCTTTCCAGGACTTAAGAAAGTTCCTTTTCCCCTTTGTCCAAAATAACATAAAATAAAATAAATGAGGAGCTTACATTTGTGGGTCCAAGAGGATGTTGATACAAGTTTTGGAAATGAGAACAACAGACCACCCCCAGAAGGAAATTCCAGAGAGGAAAAACAACCCATCAGGGCACACACGCTCACAACCTGATTTAGCATCCTTCAAACCACAGTCTCCTCGAGGATTTTCCCGATTACTGTCTTCAGAAGCATGCAAAAGTTACACGGATTTTCCTGATTATTCAATGCAAAAGCCTGAGAAAGCTCCATGCGTTCCACAACAGACTTGTCTAATGTGAAGTTTACCGCCAGGCAGTTTGGAGGGTTACATTTTTATTATTGCTACAGGACAGTTCTGGGAACAAGAAAATATGCAAATCCTAAGAAATTGTATTCTTTAAGTAGACCAGAATCTTTCAACCGAACACCCTCAACTTCTTCGGTGGGGGCAGGGATGGGAAAATGTCATGGATCCCTTTGTTAATCTGATGAAAGTTACAGAATGCGCTTTCCAGAAAAATGCATAAGCATACAGTCATGATATACTGGATTTTATTTTATGGGGTTCACAAATCTCTTAACTCTCTCTAGAGCATTTTATATGTTCAGGTCCTAATGGAATGCCACAGACAGTTTAAGATGATGGTGTAGAGTGGCTTGAAGGCTCGGCTTATTGTTTTATTCATTTGCTTTTTTGTCTTCAAAGATTTGTTTTTTATTTATTGAAAGGCAGAGTTACAGAAAGAGAGAGAGACACAGATGTGTGTGTGAGAGAGAGAGAGAGAGCGCGCGCAAGCGAGCAATCTTCTATCCTATCCACTGGTTTACTCTCCAAATGGTAACAAAGGCCTGGGCTGGGCCAGGCCAAAGCCTGGAGCCCAGAGCTGCTTCTGGGTCTCTCACATGGGTGCAGGGGCCCAAAGACTTGGGCCATCTTCTGCTGCTTTCCCAGGTGCATTAGCAGGGAGCTGGATCAGAAGTGGAGCAGCCGGGTCTTGAACTGGCACCCAGATAGGATGCTAGCATTGCAGGTGGAGGCACAAGGCTGACCCCTCATTTACTTTTTGATTTGAAAGTCAGAGAGAGGGATGGCTAGACAGATGGAGCTCCTACCTGTAGGTTTACTTTCCCTCCAGCCTGCAATGGCTGCAGGTGGACCAAACCCAGGTGCTGGGAACTCAATATGGGTCTCTCACATGGGTGGCAGGAATCCAACTACTTGAGTCATTAATGCTGCTCTCCAGTGTTAGCAGGGAGATGGAGTCAGGAACAGGAGCTGGGATTAGAACCCAGGTATTCTGATATGGAATGTGGGTCTCTTCACCTCTAGGTCAAACTTTTGCCTGCCATAGGTAGGCCTGTTGTTGCAACTGGGTCAAAGGCCACTAATCCTCTCTCTAGCAACTCTCTGGGCCTCCTTTATTACATTGCCAAAGGAGGAAATATAGAGATTAAAAAGGGTGGAGGGGCAGGTATTATGGCACAGTGACAGTGCTTAGGGCACATGCATACCACACTGAGGGGTAGTCCTAGTTCTGGTTGCTCTGCTTCCAACCCAGCTCCCTGCTAAATGATGACATTTGGGAAGGCACCAGATGACGGCCCAAGTACTTGCGTGTCTTCTACCCACATGGGAGATCTGGATGGAATTCTGGGACGCTGGCTGTAGCCAGGCTGCAGTCATGTGGTGAGTGAAGCAGAGGATGGAAGATTTCCCTCTCCTCGTCCCTCACACTTCTTCTCTTTCTCTTTCTGCTCTCCCTCTCTCTTTGTTGTGCTGCTTTTTAAATCAATCAGTCGATCTTAAGATAAAAAGCATGGAAATAGCCAGCTACTATGGCCAAGCCTTCAATGTTAAGAGTTCTCAGAAAGGCAAAGAATAATCTGAATTTTTGGTTCTATCTGTGTTTTTTCACAAACATGACTGAATTGACCTGAAATAAATCAATTCTCAGTAGCAGTTTTCCCCCAAAAGGATAGCAATCTTATAGTTTAGTTTAACAACTTTAAGATAATCCGTTTCTAGTGAAAAGTGAGCATCAAATAAAATAGGTAAAACAAAAAGGAAGAGATTTTTCACAGGAATCTCCATTGCTACTACCAAGCTCAGGAAACAATCTTAAATGGTCCAGTGTAGAATCTCATTGTTGATTCAATCACTTGTGATTTATTCATAAATTAGTTTAAGCAAGTTTCCATTGACTCTACCACGTGGCAACTCTATGGTATAGTGATATGCAATTAATTCAAGAGACCCTCTCTGGGCTGCCAATAAGGTATGGCAGGAATACAGAGCCAAGTTTTTTGCCTGCTAATGTCAAGTTTGTCATCACAGAGTATCAATGAAAGAGGTGAATGAGACAACCACAATCCAAGCCAGGGGTGGCACACTATCATGGCTCTGAGAATTATAGTAAAGGCAGCTTTGTGTTGAGGATGACATGGAGGGTGATTTCACGTCCAGAAGGCAGAAAAGGGGCTCACTTTATTTGTGTACCCTAAGTGTCCACATGTCACTCGGTGTATGAGTTGGTGGCTATCAGTGCTTGAGTAGATGAAAGCTTTATCTTCCCACCTAGCTGTGCAGCAAATCCACAATAGGCAGACTAGGCTTGACTGCTCCTATTACACCAATGAGGAAAAAATGAGCCTTAGAAAGTCAAGGTCCAAGGGCAGCACAGTTCATTCACTGCAGATACACGTCAAGAATTCAGGTCTCTTCCCACTATACACATAGCCCAACAAGGAAATAGCAATGAGCAATTTTCATGGATTCCTGAGATGGATACAGTAAAGGATGGGAGAGGAGGATTGGTAAGGTCATAGTGAGAACTATTCAGAGCTGCCTGATAATTTTGTCTTGCTGACATTCCACGGGCCGGTTTTGAGAAAAGGAGCAATAAGGGTATTAGTTACAGAACTGTATATGGGTAGAAGAATAGACAAGGAAAATGTCCTTACATTGTGGGGCAGGTTAAACCCACAAAAATCTGATGAGCAATGCTAAAAACAGACTTGCTTGACAAGGAAAACACATAATTTGTTAAAAAAGATTATTTATTTGAAAGGTAGAATTACAGTGAGAGAAGGAAAGACACAGTGAGAAAGATCTTGCATCTGTGATTCACACTCCAAATGGCTGCATTGGCCAGGTTGGGACAGACTGAAACCTGGAGCCTGGAACTCCATCTGGGTCTCCCACATGGGTGCAGGAGCCCAAGGACTTGGGCCATCTTCCAAAGCTTTCCAAGGCACGTTAGTGGGAAGCTGGATCAGAAGTGGAGCACCAGGACTCAAATTGGTGCCCACATGGGATCCTGGCATTGCAGATGGCAGCTGAACCCACTGTTCCACCCCCAACAAGTGGTTTCCAAACCAGCTCCAGTAGACTTCCATTACCAGGGGCCTCGAGTTGGGTGACAAACCCAGGACAACCTGACACAGTTTTTCTGTCTTGGTTTAGAGAGTCAAGGGACAAGTTCAGGTCAGAAAAGATGGGGATTCATATGGAGAAGGTGAGACAGGAAGCTGGGGTGGCTTCCAAGGGAAGTGGGGTTCTCAGTCTTATCCTGAAGTCCTGCCATGCCCAACGCCCTGCCTTGGTTCACTTTCAGGAGCACAGCTGGACCATTTCAGCACAGAACCCTGGATTCACCCACGCACAGCTGATTCCGGGTAAGCAGCTTGGAGTGGTATTTGCAGTCAGGGTGCAGATTACATAGATCATTGTTGGTACTTTACTTGGACTTAAAACTCATATTGTGTTCTAGCAGCTGTAGGCATGGGGTCTGAAATGCCCCACAAGTCTACGAGGCAGCTCTAGCATATTTAAAGAACGCGGTGCAGGTCATCGTGAGCAGAAACAACATTCACATTGGTGCTTTGGAAAAACATTGCTGGCCTGATTCTCTCTTCCTGCAGGCTAACTGGGCAGAGGCTCCTGTGGGTAGCATAGCCGGACTCCAGTAAAGCAAGCAGAGCATGAGCGGGGGTGAAGAGAGGCATGAAACAAAGGAGAACAAGACAACATGGAGGAAAATCAGGACACTATCCAAAAGAAACACTGAAAACGCTTTTTCCAAGCAATGTCTTCACCTCACTAGAAAACATACAAAGGTCTGGAGGACTGGTAAAATGGCTGAAACCCACAGCACTGAGGATCGCTTTCAGCAGAGCCAGCATGGGCAGGTTTCAGATAAAAATTCCTTAAAGGATAAGAAACAGGTGGCATTCAAAGACGAGGCCCCAGAAAGGACAGACACAGGCAACCTGTGATGAAATCAGATGCAAGCACATAGAATTCACTAAGGAAATGCAATTTGTTTTCCTGTGATCGATAAATAATCACATGAGCAAATGGACAGAAGGAGGAGCCCCCGATGAGATTCCTAACCAACACCACCAGGAAGAAACACAAAGAATTAAAGAAAAACATAGATTAGTGGAAAGCCAAAGAAGAAAAGAAAAGAAAGCCAGCTAGCCTCTGTTCATATCCTAGTGAAAGGGAACACAATGAAAGACTATCTGGTTAAGCCTGTATTTAGGAATAAATAGCTCACTAACCAGTTTTAGCAAGGATGAGGACAGCCAAGTTTTAATTGGAAATAACATGGCCTTGCACCAGAGGCTTGTTCCTTAAACTAAGGCATTAGATAAAACCAGGTTCACGTTTCTTCTACCCTTGTGTCGGGAAATGGGAGCACAAAGCCCAATTGGCCAAATAAAGGAACTGGACACTCCACAGAAAAACCCTCTCAACCCGTGATTGATGTCCACTGACACCTCCGCACAATGACACCATGGGAACTGGCAGAAGGTACACACCAGGCATAGCCAGGGGCCACGCAGCCCAGCCTCTTTGGGGGAAGAGACAAATCCCAGTCATTGTCCTGGATTCACAGCAACCTACTTTGGAGTTGTGTGCATGCCCTGAAATGTGGAATTTATATATTCACTCATTCAGGAAATACTTACATGGAGACTTCTATGTGCCAGGAACCACTCTAGGTGCTGGGTATCCAGTGGGGAGCAATGGAGACACAATGCCTTCCCCTGGGAGTTTTACACGTGACTGGGGGAAATAGACAATAACCAAGTAAACAGCTACTTAATAAAGCATCAGGCAGTGGTGAGTGCTATGGAGACAAAAGGCAGCAGGAGAGAGTGTAACTAGAGGCAGGTTCGGGCAGGAAGTGAAGCAGAGATGCCTGCTTAGCAGATGCATGGCCTTGCACTCTGGCAATTGTCTCTCGGCTGAAGTCAAAGCCACTGCTCCCTCTCTGGGAAGCACTATTGTCCATCCTGAGATTAACAACTTGCCTCTGTTTATGCTGATATGGCCTGATTGTGCTATGGAATGCGAAGAGCTTTGAAAGGCCAGGGAGTAGAGAGCGCCACACATCATCACGACTGTGGCAGGCTGTAGTTTTGGTGGGAGCCAAAGATCCATGCTTCTGGAAGTTCCCGGTCTTGGGTAGGTCCCCCCCCCCCCCCGCCCATCAAGTGTGGGCTGGGCCTAACACTCATTTTAATCATCAGAATCTAATGGAAGCAATGCTATGCCAATTTCAAACTTCATTCTCGTGGAAATAGATTGTGCTTTGGCGTGCTGGGTGAAACCAGGTGCCGTGTAAGGTGTCCTGCTCACTCAGCACCAGCTCCTTGTAAGAGCCCAAACTGGCCATGCAGTATGCGGACCAGGAAGAGGAACAGAGACTCCTCCCATCAGCTCCAGCATCATCTCATCAGTGGAAGGGAGATTTTCCTGCCTCATACGAGCCACCTTAGCTGACCCCACATACAGCAGTCCTACAAAGAACTGTACAAATTGCAGAATCATGAACAAAGACATAAAATGGTAGTGTAATCCACTAAATTCTTGGGTAATTTTGCTACTCAGTAATAGTCAACCAAAACAATGATTTTCCATCTCCAACACAAAACACATAATAACTTTTTCATGTACAACTTTGGCTTGGAAATTTTTCGAGGGGTAGGCTTAGAATTTTCTTGGCTTATTGTCTGTGTCTTTGATTTTAAAACACCTAATTTGAGAACATGAATTGCTGGATCTCAAATAGCGGAAAAAATATGTTCTGACTTAAGGCTTAAAAATAGAGATATGTGCTATTAGGAAGACAAGAATATGTTTCTGCTGACCTATTCATCTCACGCAGGCCAAACTTACGTCCTGCCATAATTCTGGAGGTAGGAAGCTGAACTAGACTTGACCTCAGTTAGCATTTCCCAACTCAAGTGACAATACCCCACCCTGGAATTCCTGACAACACTATCAACCTCGGACAGCAGCCCTTGCTGGCCACTGTCGGAAAGTGCTGGCAGCAAGGTCTTGTTCACACAGAAGGGACAGATCTGCATGGCTTTATGCAGAGGAAAAGGAAAAGCAAAGCAATCAATTCACCCTGGGGAAACATGCTGAGGCCATGGATTCACCAGGTAGTGCAAACCGTCAGCTGTGGTCACAGAGAGGATGCACCATCCTTCCCCTCGCCACTGGGTCTTTTCCGTCTCCACTGGGGATAAATAATGTGCAATGGATGATGGAGACAGCTAAGCCATGAATGGGTAATAGAGACCAGAATACAAGGGAACATCATGTCTGTGTTACATAAAACAAAGATCTGGGAGGGTGTCCAACCCAGGGAGTCATCAAGATGATTCATTACCGCATTTCTCCAAGTGTGGTCCCTAAGGTGAGCAGTGTCGGCAGCACCTGGAAGCTTGTTAGAAATGCAAATCCTTGAGTCCTCCCCCAAAATGACTAAATCGGAAACCCCGAGAGTAAACTCGCCAGCAGTACTGAGCATGCCCTCTGGCCAGATTTGAAGTTTGGAAATTAATAACATGCTGAAATTCCAGAAAAAAGGTGGAATCCCTATTTATATTTATTTTTAACCTTTAAAGGAGCAACTTTAAGCTTTATCAGCATTTAACATTTACTAATGTATAACACTAATTCTCTTGTTCTTACTTTACCTGTAAGTCTTGTGTTATTTGTGGTAGCAACTTCCACAATCCAAGGAATTGCAGATTATTATTCCTATTTGTTCATTTGCTTTCAATTTAGTGTAAAATCCTGTCTGTTACTTACACCCACTGGCAGATTTACAAACTGTATTATCTAGTTTTAATTCTACTTCTCCATTTCAAATGGCCAAGCAGCTTAAAGGATTCCTGCAAAGAAGTTACTAAGTCCAAAACCAATAAGAAAGTGGTGGGGCTGACAGTATCACAGAGCTCCCTGCCACATTGTTCTCACTATAAACTATTATTGAAAATATTTTAGTGAAAATCAAAATAAATTGTCACCTAAGAGAATGAAATATAAAATATTTAATTTGCTAGTTCATCTTAGAGTTTAAAATATGTATTTTTATGTGGGTTGGTAATATAAACACACTAGCAAAGGAATATATTTTTATGATCCTGTTTGGTATATCCAAACAAATACAAATGCAGCCACTTTTTTCTTCCCCACAAGGAAAGCAGAAGATGTAAAAAAGAAAATCAGAAACAACATGGGAATGATGACACATGGCTATCTGTATGCAGTGTTGCTGTATGTAGAAGGACATATCCCAGTTCGTTTTAACCAACAATGTCACAAAGTTAGCAGAAAATTCTATGCAGAAACATTTAGACAGGATTTAACATGTTTTTATAAAAAAATGTTTTGTCTCTTGTCTATATCAAAACTTTTTTTAAGATTTATTTATTTATTTGAAAGGCAGAGTTACAGAGAGATTTTTCATCTGCTGGTTCATTCCCCAAATGGCTGCAATGGCTGGGGCTGGGCCAGGCAAAAACTAGGAGTTCAATACTCTTTCTGGGTCTTCCATATGGGTGCAGGTGCCCACGCACTTGGGCCATCTTCCACTGCTTTCTCAGGCACATTAGCAGGGAGGCTACGGGAAGTGGAGTAGCCAGGAGCTGAACAGGTGCTCAAATGCGATGCCAGCATCCTAGGCTGTGGCTTAACCTACTGTGCCATAATGGCAGCCTGTCAAATCGCTACCTGATCAACACTATTTCTCTTAAGAGGAAACTGAGGCTAAGAGAGTCTATATAAATTTATCAAAACTCTAAGGGCAAGATTGAAACTTCAGAATATGTGTTGGATTTCATAGCCTGCTGGTATCATGTGACTGTCCAAATGTGGTCTTTCAGCCCATGAATCTTCTGAAGATCATGATTGATGATCAGGTTCATCACCCAAGATTAGAATCACGTTGGAAACTCAAGTCAGAGAGTTTGCAATGATCCTGGCAAGACAGATCAGAAAGTCGTTCCCTCAAGGATTCTAGACTAGTTGACAGTAGTGAGGACAGATAAGGTAGAGTCTTCCATATTGATACTGCAGGTAATTTTACCTTATCCTCCAATGCTGGGAATACTCCCACCTTATCTCCTAGTGCTAGAAGTACTCCACCTTATCTCCAGTGTTGGGAGCACTCCTACATTACCCCAGTGGTTGAAGTACCTTATCTCCTAATGCTGGAGAAGTACTCCTTCCTAATCCCCAGTACTAGAAATACTCCTATACTATCATCACTGCTGGAAATACTCCTGCCTCATCCCCAGTGCTACAAGTACTTCTACCTTATTCTCAGGTGGGAAGTCCTCCTACCAGATCATCCTATCTTCAGTGCTTGGAT